AAATTATTACTGTGAATTGTAGGAAGGAACACGCGAGGAACCGTTGTCTGCAAATGAGTTTAATGTTTCCCGTACACTTCGAAACACCATGAACACATTGAAGAATCACGCACTTAACTTGTTGAAGATGCGTCGCCACTCAAACGAGAATCATCCGAGACCTCAACGGTCCAGTTTCGAGAGTCTGCCACCGCCCCCTCGGATCTAGATGCCAACCCTCATCCGAGTTTGTCGATTTTCTCAGCCAAAAAACGTGCGCTGTTAGCCTACCGACTATCGTAGTTGCCCAAATTACGACGAAATAAATTGTGTCTGTGCCAACCGCGCAAGCATTACGGCCTGGTCGATGCCCATGATGTCGGCCATAAGGTCTGGCTTCTTCACAAGTCTTGGCTTTAAACCGACGTGTACGTCTGAAACCTAGGTGGCCACTTAACAAAAAAACCCAGCGAATTTCGAAAGCAGGGCAGCATACTGCGGTCTTTTAAATCATGAACATGATATACACCAGAGACATCAAGCAGAATTTACTCTCACCGCGGTCAGTCAAGGAGTAGTTAAATAATTGACTCAAAAACATTTCTGGTTACTAAGCTACAAGCTTTTATATCGACAATTTGTTTGTAACTTTGCAATGCCTTTAGACCGCTGTTGAAGCTAGATTGATCTTAACAGTAATAGAATCTTTACAACGGAACTCTAGGCTACAAAATCACGGCGATTTTGAACACACTTAAACTCAACTGTCGGAATCATCGAAGTCTATTTTTTTGCACACATCGTGAAGAAACGGAATGTCACAATTCGTTCAGGCCTGAAGTTAGATGAGCTCCATACTTGACAAAGCAACTCAATTAGTGACTACCCACTGTGTTCCCACCACTTGACGGTTGAGAGCGTGATTGTAGACTTACTACCGAACTGCTGTTGAGCACGAAATTCAGCTGTGTCCAGAATAAGGAACACACTTCAACTGGGTTTTCATGTTACTGGGAGATTTTGCGAGTCAGCTACGTGACAACCCCCAAACACAGAAAACGGAGAAGTGGCTGAGGGAAATCCTAACCACGACCTCTTAAGCTGCTCTTAATTGAGACCTTTCTCGTACCCTACCCAAAGACGCAGCATAGAGATGTGTGGAGATGCATAACGCCGTGATGCTACAAGGTGGATGCAGTCTAAATCACCTCAATGAATCAATTTTCCAGCAAACCACTTAAATGAAAGACGAGGGTGGGTGGGCTTGTTTATTAAACCAGTCGAAAAAAGTGCGACCATTTTAAACACCGTACATGGGTGCAGTTACAGCGCGGACAGCGCGCGGCCAACAGCTAAGGCCATGTGGAAAATCAATAAACAGATGTCATATGAGTGCGTGCGTGCGTGCGTGATGCTGTCGCACTCACAAACTCAGACACATGAGTCACGAGTACGAAGGGGGGAGCCAATTACAAACCGATGATTAATGGACTGGACGCAGACACGTCCTGCTAGGCTCTTACCGATTGGTTGGTAAATGGCAAACATTTATTCCCCCTAGTGGAAAGTTATACGCTGCTAATTTACTCTTCTGTTAATCTAAACTACGCTGGGAGGGGTGCAGATTTCGAATGTCCTTTTGGCCGACCTTGACAATATTATGTGTGCGACGCATTTACAAAACAAAGCAACAACTAATCAAAGTAGGCTAACTACAGAGTGTGTGTGTGTGTGTGGGACGATAAACGCTCGAAAAATGCCTTGTAACAACACATTCTCAGATAAAATGGGCTATATTCATATTTTCTTAAATCCAAAAGGACATCTCCATCGGATGCAGTATGAGGAAGGTAAGAGTAAATCCCGGCATTCCGATGCGTTGATGGTAAGAACGATGAGACATCAAATCTCTCAATTCTGAAGTCAAGACTAAATTTGCCTAAGCTACGTTTTTTGAATTTACTTGACTGCAAACTCCGCTACACAGTGCCAGGAAGGAAACAGGGTTAATTGTGACTGGCATGCTTGATTTTCCCATTATGATTGAAAGGTGAGACTTCACGGAACAGTTCTGCTGAATCGTAGAAAAACACGGACCCCGTTTTTGTGAAATATCTGCCTAATTTGCAATCCTAATGGACTTTGACCCAAATGGAACCCGGGAACATGCGGGATGAGGCGGACAGTAATGTGCATTCACGCACTAGACAAGGTGCGTATGTATGGGCGCTCACGGCGCACTTAGACACGGACCAATGACGGGTTAGGGTGAGAGCCAGATACCAGTCAGCCCGATGTAACGTTGTTTTGACAAGCTTCATCTCCAACACTTCCGCCGACGTTCCACATGGCGGATTCGGAATGTGCTGGTGAGAGTACTGGTTGGGATTTTTACGCGGGTAGGCAGACACTAAACCGTAAAGGCTGCTGATAAAAACCAAAGCTACACCAGGTGATCGATTTCTGATCAATTCAAATATTTTTTTATAGAATGGTTCCTTTAAATAGCAGATACAGCTTTTAACCTCAAATGTGGACTTAAATCTGTTTGGACAACAAACTGCGTGGCCTGGATTTCATTTTGCCAAATTAATTGAGATTTCTTACTTCCAAATTCCAGCCCCAACTTTAAAAAAAGGCGTGGACTGTCAAGAGTTGGTATAAATTCTGTTGGTGTGCATAGGAAAATAGAAAAAGCGAGTAATAATTCAATTTCACAGATGTCTTGGTAGGTTAATTTATAAGGAAAGTGATTAGATTTACGCAAACACAAACCTTCGGCAATCGGACATGCTCCATTCCTGTCTGCCACTTTTCACGACTTGGTTGGAATGGAGGTATTTAAGCTTTAATTGATTCGAATTTCTAAGTGGAGTTTTAAAGATGAGTATTGCGTTTAACCATCAAGAGACGGCAAATGAATTATATTTGAGGTGATAGTCTTAAAGATTCTTAACAAATTCTCAAATTACTTTAGATACGGGGCGTTGGTGATGATTGTGTACACTTGACTCAGCGGCAGGGGGTGATTCACCACCAACGTCTGTTTATTTGTCGAGTTTAGTTTTTCTTTGAAGTCAAATTTCTTTCCGGTTGAAAATTTACCCCACGGAATCTGCAATTCTGGCACCATCTAAGCAGCCATTGGTGGCCCACCATACCCAATGGACGTCCGAATCCTGCAACTCGCCTAGTTACGTTCTTAAGGTGTTTCCCATTAGAATACCCATTTGCTAAGTGTTGGTTTTGAGGTCCCTCATCTGGCCAAGTGCCTCTCCTGTTACAAGCTTGACCCGAAAAAGTATGCTTTTTTGACCAGTTAAGTGAGAAATGGCTGTGAAAACACCATTTCGTTTAGTGGGTTTTGTCACAACTTGCGGAACACATTTGCCGAGTTCTGAAGTGTACCCAATTTGTTTTAGCTGGCGAAATGCCGTCGGTTAGTAAACAGTTAGTCTAACGGCCACGTCCTCGGTGGTAATCTGTGGATAATTGTTTACGAAATCATGGACAGACATAATCAAAGCCTGGGGACCATCCAACAAGAGGTTTATTGTTAACACTGATTCACCATTCTGACGTCTATTAAACCATTGTTCTTGAATCAACGGAACGATTTAAGCAAATTATTTGAATCCCGACACTTCCGAAGATGCTCACAAATTAACCAAAGGACGCTTTTAAACGCTGTGCTGGTTTGCATCGCGTTCAGATAATAGTCTGTCGCTAACATACCTCTGAAAACACATTGGATACAATTATCTTTCAAATTTCTTACATGAGACCGCATCACCGAAGCCTGGAATGTACACCAATAAGAAGTAACCTCTATTACTTACGCACTCCTCTTAAATTTAAACGAACCCTTTTGACAAGGTGGAGACGTGGTCATGGGAGCCGTTTAACACCCAACATAAATTAACCCGGTTCCTAAACACGATTAGGCACAAGTATGTTAATTCGTGCATACGACCGCATCCAATCTAAATTATATGTGAACTCGGCGCTTACGCACGAATATGTCGTCTAGTCCGATCCCACGAAACGTTAGTTATAAGTTACAGTTTGTTGGTCGATTTCGCGTAGAGGTTGCGGCAAAACGCCCACTTTGTCTGATTTACAGACAGAATCATTTACGACTGCCGGAAGTTTACACAGACCCCCAGTAACATAGATAAACTATTACGTTTGTAAACAGCTGGCTACCATGTTCAAATGGCCCTTGTCGACACACCGTCTTGAAGGTGGACTGATTCACAACTGCAGTGGATAGCAAACTGGTTGTGTAAATTAGACAAAACTGACAGCGCAATAGTAACTTCATCCTGGACACGGAAATCAGACCCCGCTACAGGTAAATGCCGCTAATCACGTGATTCAAAGGCGGTTGTCGCTGCGTTTTGGTCCGCAGTTTCCTGGTCGATTTTGGGAGGCCGAGAGAACCGTGGCATCAAACTGGGACGCCAATAAAAAAACACATCTCAGTAAGTTAGAGCATGGTGTTTGCCGGCGTTTAATTTGCTGACAGCCTGGTTTGCTGATTTTGTACGCTTCGCGAAAGCAGCGCTAATTTGTGGGCTTGGGTGGTGGCATGTGCGATCGGCCTCTTGCGGACATCCAATCAAATTTTGACGTCCTTTCAATCGCAGCTGCGCTGGCGTCCAAGCCACTAGGATGAGTCATCAGCAGGCCGCGTCTCTCGGACGGACAAAGCGACGTCGGCTGGTCATAAACCCCGATTTGTGCGCGGCTTGAAACACGCTTAGGGCCACCGCAGACCTGACTTGTTGCTGTTGCGATTCCACTAGCCCTTCCACAACTTTCAAAGTGATTCTATCAGTGTCAGTTGACCTGACAACACCTCGACTAAACTTGGCGGATGATGCTAAAAGGCGTTTATCCTACCTCGTTCATTAGATACCGTTGTCTGCATTTCGCACTGCTTCCAAATCACAAAGGAGATATTCGAATGCCCCAATTATTTTAAACATACTTCCGCTCAAACGAGGATTGCCCCATCTTTAAGTGGACTTCGAAAATCCACTCATCTCGTGCATATAGTTATTCCAGCACCACTCATAACTGCCCTCGTTTCGGTAAACGTCGGTGCTTATCACTTTAAACAACCAAAGTCTAATTGAAATGGATTTATTCGTGTTGTAAAGTTCGTAGAACTCAAAGAGAATGGCGGAACTGTAAAGGCTCCAGTTGTTGAGATCATCCGCATTCCAAAGTTCAGAAGGTCCAAGACGACACACGCCCCAAACTGCAAGGGCTCCAGCGGTAGATGCGTGCCACTCGTTGGCATCTCCACGACACATCTGAATCTAAAAGGTCAACAACAAGTTATCCGACTTTTGGGAAATGCGAATCGTTTCGCATTGGCTGAATTCAATTGGCCTATCCATTTAGTTGTCAGCGGAGTTGTAAGTTCCGTTCTCAACTCCAATCAAAGCTGCGCATTTATCGAAACTGGAACATCAAAGTACACGCAGAAGAGCCATCGGCAGCGATTAGAGTGCTTAAATTTATCTCAAAACATCGAAGCGAGGTCAGGTCTTTTTTGCGGTCTACGTCACTGCAATAATGTTAAGTGGGAAGCCTAGGTTGTGGGAAGTTGGGTGGAACAGGCAGAAAATTGAGGCGGCTTGGCTGGGTGAATCATTTTGAGAAGCCGCCATTAAACAGCCATTAGCGGTATCTACACTTGCTCCATTTAAGTCACATGTTTTAGTGTCGTTTTATTTCCAAAACTAGCGGCTATTTAAATACACGAGATTATTTAAGTAAGGATTTTTCCATCTACTCGCAAGCCACAGTAAATCGGGGGGCTGAAATGCATCGCCTTTTGTGATCGACTCATTAATGCATTATCGTGCTAGCCCACTTTATCAACCAAACTGCCCGCCACTATTTTCGGTGGTTTTAATTGGCTGACGACTCTGCGGGAATTTCAAAGTGCGTGCCTAAAAATACACATGGTCAGGGGCGTTCTAAAGACTGGAGGTATTTTCAAATTTCAGCCCCTTTAATTATCGCACTCAATAACTGAACAAGTAAGTGGGACGAAAGGGGGCAGTAGAGAAGAACGCGCCATTGATTAGACTACTCCCATTGGCCAACGCATCCTGCTAGCTGCGAAGCGTCTAATTGGAGCTGAGATCGCGGCACGCGATTTCTGTCCCCATCGTCACACAGTGTTTTCTGAGGACACTTTGGGCTTAAAATGATGTAACCTGTAACTCGACAAAACGGGTAGCTCACGTGTTAAATCTAAGTGAGTCCAGTTAAAACCGAAAGTAGGTGAATATGTAGAGGGGTTGTTGTAAAACTGTGAATTACTGTGGACCAGAAAATCTTCCACGCTGATAAATGGTTAAATAAATATTAGGTAATAAGGTCAGTTCTTTGAAAAAAGCATGCTGAAGATCGAATAAGACGATGTCACTGCCTGCTTTGATTTTTTAAGCCAGAGAGACGTTTGTCGCTGAGTCTGCCTAAAGGAATCCTGAGGTAAGTGCATAAATTATTTGTTTTGCGGTAAAACACGGCATTACTGCTGCCAAGTGTGGATAAACAGTACTTTGGACTTGTAGGCAAGTTTAAATGCACTTAACTGTTTTTGCTACTTATAACGTGCTAGTAGAGTGTATTTTATCACAAATTCAAAGTGTTAGGTCGAAGTAAACGCCCGTTCAATTTGATGAATCACAAGGAATAAATCTGCAGCTTCAAATACTATTAAAGATGGGAAAGCCATTTGCTGAATGCATAACAGATAATTTAAGTTGCCTCGCTCTTCTTGCATTATCGTTTTATTACAATTTTTCGCAAATGGAGACATGAATGTAATTCCTAGATGTGAATGATTTCATGCATTAATGGAAAGACAAGTATAAAAAAATAACAATTAATTTGAAATTCGTAAAAAAAAAACAAAAAAACAAGTAAACTATTAAGTTATCAAGGTATTCGCAGGAATAAATTGGGCACGATCATAGGTGGATATCAGAAAGCAGGCATCGCTTGTAGGAATATCTCGTGAACGCCTTTTAAAGAAGAACTTGAAAAACAGAAATTGAAATCCGGGAATTCTTTACAGACAGACTGATGAGTCGCAACCTGCTCGACCTCATTGAGTAGTATGAGTACCCCAGTGCCTGGTTTCAGGCCAGTAAGAAAGCCGATTCTTCGTCTGTTTTGTTCAAAAGTCCCCAATTGTCGAGGCGCAATGCGTGAGCAGTCGAATGACGAGGAACGCGTTGAAATTTTCAAAGATTTTGCAATTTGTCGGAAAGGTCTGCGTAAAATTAGCGCCAGCAAACGATATTGATCGCTGGGCATAAAAGTGGGCTGTGTGTGTGTGAGTGGGTGTGCGTAAATACCCCTTTTTGGAACTACACGAGGACTGAGGTTCCGTTTTGCCTTCTCTGCATCGTACTTCCACAACAACTCCACTCCGCAGTGATTTGAAATCTCAAACAGTACACTAATTTAGAAAGGTGCAAATTTAGTTATAGCCCATGTCTGTGGTTTGCGTTAAATCCAAAAAAACTAACGAAGCGTGGTTTCATGATACGTTTACGGTGCTTTATTCATGCGGCTGTCTTCTTTCCTAGTTACAAAAACCGCTAAAATTTCACACGGTCTAACCCCCTTAGAAAAAAAAACAAATTTAGACGAAACTATAAAATCCATAGGCGAGGTAGAGACCAGCAAAGGCCAATTTTTTTCCAAATAATGACAAACACACAACCCAAAGACGAAGAGGAACCACATTGTGTGGAGAGACACTTTTGAGCTCCGGGCCTTGATCAAAAGGAGTTCGTGTGCCGTAGAGACTAAATTTAATTTGCAAAAAAGTGTGGGAAATGACTGGAATCTCACGGAATCACTTACAACTAACCTGAATCGCTTGAATTTTATCATAAAAAAAGAAAACCTCACGATTTATCAAGACCTCTTTGCCAGTGGTAAGGTGCTGTGAAAAATGGCAACTGCTATGTTGGTGAAATCAAAAGATTTTCAAGATTCAGACCGTTAAATATGCTCTAGCAAGGGGATAATTAGCAGTTGGACATTAAGTGTCACTCAGAAAGGGCTTTTTCTGCACGTGGGCATGATTGCGAGGGCTTTGGGCATGCGTTGTGAGTTGAATCTATTCCACGTTCTGCCGTCGAAAGTGCAATCGCGGAATCAACACCAACCGGAGTGTCAGTGGAATCACCAAACACCTGACCACACAGTCGTACTCGCGCTTCCCAAAGGCGTTCATTGGAATGCTGTTACCCCCTCTACAAACTCACAAATTGGAATTTTTGTTAAGTACAATTTCCATGCAGACAAATTCGCTCATTATCTATGTTACATTGAAAAAAATCTAACTAACTTAATCTTGGTTTGACCGTTTGAACTCGGTAGAGGTTTTGGTGCTGTAATGTTGCACGCTCTGAGTTACATAATGGATTGAATTCTAGTCCGAGCGTGCCGTGTACGCTATTTCTAGGATCGAAAAAATTACTTTTGAACTATTAACCTTATTAAAAAAAGTTGCTGCTTACCGGATAAATGGAATTAAGATTTAGTCTTAGCATTCTCACAAATTTACTTGCCATAAAAATGTTTCGCATAGTGCCTCTTTGGCAAAAAACCTTCCCATCTGTTTCAAAGCAGTTAATTTTTTGATAAACGAATTCTTATTGGCTACTTTTGCTGACCATAAAATTTAGAGAGGCGAGGTTCAACCTGCTTTTGTCGAGGCGTATAATCGAGTTCCTTCATTCCTAACGTTAGTCTGCTAAGGCTTATTCAACAACACCGTCTTACGCAAGTTTCAGATGACATTAATGTGGGATAGATTCCCAGAGCGTGGACTGTGTACTTTGTTGATGGTGAGTCGCGCCACGAGATTGCCAGTCTAGGCTTGTTTCATTGCCAGACGAAACATCCTGGTGACTTGATTAATGAAGCCTGCCTGGGAGGGGATGCGTAACGAGGCTTCGTTGTGGCAATTCGGCATCCGCTTAGAAAACCACCATTCTGCTTATCATCGAGCGCGCTCCAAAGGCTTCTCTGCATCCACAAAAGTTATGGTTTATTTTGCCACTCGTTTAGACCACTTGCACGCAGCGTACTTTAAGGCACTTGACAGTAATTTATGCCCTTAAAGTTCCAAGCTAAATTAATCAGAGTAAGTCACACACCTTGATGCGGTAGAGAGGTAGCATTTTTATTCTCTTCCCCGCAATCCCTAAGAACTTGGGTGTTCTGGCGTTTAGTAAAGTCGAAGTTTGACTTCGACTCTGTGGTGTCATAAGTTGGAACTACCTCAAACCCACCTTATCACTGAATCATGGCCACTCAGATGGTCCTAGTTGAATTTCTAGAGAGAGTGGAAAATGAATGCTACAACGAACTTCTCACCATGCCTACGTGGCTGTTTCAGCGTTCGGCAAACCCTCAGAAGAAAGTGAATTGGACTCTTCTAGCGGGCCCCGGTGCGGCTTTGGAAACCACACCCCAGGGCCGACAATTTACGTTGACACGGCCCTACCGAAAGAAGAGCAGTAAATGCTGATGTAGCGTAGCTCAACTAATGTATTGATGCAGCAGCGGTGTGTGTGTGCGTGTGCGTGTGTACAGGGTAACGAGTGCGTTTATATACCTTGGCTAATCATCGATCGCTGAACGGGTAGAGTTGCATAAAGTGCATTCACGAAAATCGATTGAATCGATTGAACTGTGCTCGCCTGCTGCTCGCCACACCCTTTTAGCCCAGTGAAGGAATGGAACACTCCTGTGCCAGACTTTGATTTCCACAATTTCCCAGCCCTTGGCTATCACATACTGCTGCGTTTATGTTCTAGCAACGAACGAATAGTTTTCAGGGGCTAAGGTTGCATCATGAGGAAGACTAAGAGCTAGATTTAAGGTCGCTTTTTTGCCACCTTCCGAACCCAATAGTTTAGCGTCAAATATCACGAAACCCAGGGTCAAAATAACTTCAAATGCAATTTAGAGAAGGTTAAGAAGTTAAGCGTACTCATGTTAACACGTGTTGAGGCCCTGTCACGTGGTCTTTAACCACGTCGTGGTTGCTAACATAAATTTGGCGCATTTACGCTACTCAGATACCCGAGAAGACATGAAGAAGACTAGAGATGGCAGAAACGACCGTTTACTAGACAGTTCAATTGATTTTTTATTTGTGAGTGCTTGTGCTCGGTGTAGTGTGCATGTCTAGCGTAGTTATCGATCAAGAGAGCCTGAGTGAACTAGGTGACGTGAAAGTAACTGAATGATTGGGGGAGTTCAGGGGCAGTATGTCGCGGACTACCGCAACCCGATTAATGTGGCGTGTATCAATACGATTTACGTAACTCACAAGTCCATGGTACAAAAATCCAACCAAGTATGTGTCAGTCAAGGCTCTAGTAAAGTTGACTTACTATTGGAGGTGTCAGCAATCGCCAAGGCAACTAAATTAACGCTATGCTTTGAGACATCGACCCACATATATATAACTATGCAGTCAAGCCACATAACTTTTTACATCAACAACTCATCACTCAATGTTAATTACTCAACTCATCGATCTCAGATCACCCGGGCCTATGAACAAGTGGGAACATCTGAGCATCCACTCGACCTCCGCTTTTGGCTCCAGCTTGTGCTCGAACCATTGGCTCAGATGGTAAAGCCCTTTATACAGGCTCTAGTTTTCTCTGATTCTTTGGAACCTTCAACGTGCCAAACATGGGGCTTCAAGCATTGCCCTTGGGGATTTTCATCTTGTGTTCTTGTGTAATTGGGTAAATTTCAAAAATCTGCCAGTGCTTGGTTTTTATTAAGCTAGAGAAAAGTACAAAAACGGGCTACTCATGCAGCTTTTATAGCCTTCGATGTTTGCGCAGGTTCTCTTCATCGCAAAATGTTGCAATTATTACTCGTTTTCGAATTTCTAACGGTACACACTTTTCGTTAAGAGCTGTTTCCAGGATCGAACAACTTTTTCTAGTACTTATAACACCATTTTAGAGCTTTCGAGCATCAGAAAATCCCCAAATACGGAGCTTTTACCCTTCTGGTGTTTCCTGAACACACTTTGCCTGAAAACACTCAAATACCTATTTATGTTTAGGGAACACGCATTTTTTTGATGGCTGTTATTTTGACATGTCGAACTAGACACATTTCAGATTACACTTGGTAACTTGTTATTAGTAGATCAACTGCAAAGATGTCTAAAATCTATGCGATGACGAACGTCAGGCCTTGGGGAATTCGTCGTGAATGTTATGCTCCAGTTTAGGAGAAAATAAATCTAACCGAATCGAGAAATAGGTTGGGAATTTGGGGAACTCGACTGAGCGCTTTTCATTGGTCGAGGTGTCTCCCTACTGGGAATAAAAGCCACGAAAATTCAAACGGAAAATTTGTCTGTGTTTCAAATTAAAGAACCGTGTACGTCTATAATTCTTGTATTTTTCACGATAGCCATCCCCTTGAATTTTATGATCTCATGGCATTCCTTTCAAATAGGACTTTTCTTATAGAATTGTATTCCTTTTATCGGATTTAATTTGCTGTCAAAAATACGAAATAGGATATTTTGTAGGCGAGCTGGTTGCGTCGTTACTGTGGCAATATACATAAGCTTGGGACTAGTGTATTTCCAAATTTCTGTTGGGAAGGGATTTCGAACCTTTACACGACAGCTATGTCACCTCGGTTGGCAACCAAAAATTGGCAGGTAACTGCGAATTACAATGCGACACTGAGATTAACTGGGTTTTTTAAAGTCCATTCTTTTACCAAAATGAACTTTAATGTAAGTTTTGCCAGATTCGATGACCAGATTGAAGTTACAGTCTGTGTTTTGAATGTGTTTAAATGCATATTTGATCGCTGCCTTCAAAAATCAGTTCCAAATTTTTCAAAAATTGCGCTTCAAACGAAGCCTTCTTCTCTTTGTTTTCTTCACTGGGATTCACTCGCAGAAATCTTACAAAACAGGTACACTCCAAATAAATTGTGTTGGCAGTCTAATAAGTTTCTTCTGCTACTGGAAATACGCATTTTAATGAATAGGCGCAAAAGGCGGGAGATTAACCTATGGATGAATGATATAACATGTTTTCCTGTAGTTTTGGCGTTGTCATAGCTGGTAGTACATGTACGGTGAGCGAATTATGAGGCAGCGTAGATAGACTGCCACTCGAGGTGGTTACGGTCCACCAACCCGGTTTGTAATGCTTGCATCAAGAAAAGTGAACAGTTTGTTTAAAACAAGTGTCTTTTAAAGAAGCACTACGTGTTCCTGTCTTCAGCAAACCAATAAAAACAATTTAACAATAGTGGAAATTTCTTAGTCTGTTTCGGTGGACCGACAATGGATCACGATGGCTAAGTCTATTCACGAACTTTAGATCGACAAGGATGCTTGCCCACTTAACGTCCCCGCCCTATGGCTATGCCACCCTTCTTGTTCTGCTGGTTGCGACCAGCACCACAAGTCTGCGTCTGGACGAACGTCGTCTGGCACGTGCCGCGGCCTCCCTGCATCGCCAAATGGAGCAGCTGCAGCGAGCGCAGGTCTCACCTGATTGGTTGGAAGGCGGCCTGATCTCACCTGACGACAACTTCGACGAAGCCGCGGTTGAGAAGCGGTCTGACGAAACCGCTGGAATGGCGATTCCGCCGGAAGCCGTGCTCAATAACCCCACTGCGTTGAGGAATTACCTTCGACAGGTGAATGAGTACTTCGCACTCATTGGACGACCAAGGCAAGTTGAAATTTAATTGATCGGCAGTAATTTGGACAGAGGCATGTATGGATTGGTCAAACTCGCGTTAAAATTGACTACGTCTGTTTTCTTTTAGGTTTGGCTGAGTGTACACCCGTGGACGCGTTACCTTTCCACGACCTTTGACACTGACCACTTGCACTCCTGTGACTGCTGTAACCTAAATCAAAGTATACTGACCAAAAAACGCATTTTTTATCTGTACAATCGCCTTCTGTACTTCTCGTCCTCTGGCAACCCAGAATGGCTGGACTAAAAAAGTTAGTTCTGCTGTAAGACACAGGCAAATGAGTGTGTTTGAATCAACTACAAATGAAAGACCAAATTTCCAAAAGGTGATTGGAAATCGAAGAGTCGATTTCGAGAACAGTTTACTCATGGCTAGTACAAGACGTTCATGAGCATAACCACGGACATCTTAATAAAGAGCAATGATGGCCAAAACGATGTGAGTGTCTTGCAAACCAGCATGAAGAAGGTAAAGTATGCCCCATTTATAACCATCTGAGATCAGAAATGACGGATGTGAACGAGCGACAACTTCGTGTTTAACTTGAATAATCTGGAAAAGTGGTAGGGTAAATATTGGTGTTTCAATAAACACATTTCATAATTGCTCACGTTGAGCAAATGTAGTTTGTTGAATGTCGCACTGGCCACTGCAAGGACATTCTAGGATTCAACTGCAGTTGAGGTAACTATGAAGGCTATGACACAAGCTAATTCTTTTCATGCTTAAAAATCAGTGTTGAGGATTTTGAAATGTCCCACAGACAGAAGCATTTGGCCCAAGTTTACCGAGTGTTCCAAGGGTCTTGTCCGTGTTGAGGTTCGTCTAACTACCTTTTCGTGGCTCGTTCTGGTTCTGCTTAAACACGTGACTGTGAATTTCGACTGAAAGCCCAGCTTGGTCCGTGAATGCAAGGAAAATTCGTGCCAAAAACCCGGTGGATACATTTGAGTTGAGCTTCACCGACTCGAATAGAGAACCCGACGGTTTAAGTGGGTTCCCAAGCTTCGGTCTTTGTTTGATGAAACCTCGATGATTGTAATACACGTAGCTTCTGCAAAATCAGTGTGTAGCAAAATATTCGCGTTTTAAGAGCAGATAATAATTAAATTTTTCTTCCGCGGTATGCTTTTAACAATCTTTTTAGTTTAAAGATTGAAAGCTGATGGAAATTCTTCAATTGATCTATAAAACTGAGCCCTACTTAGATCTCACATCGCAATTTCTCTTATCGATTTCATTAACTTATAATTGATTTATCAGCAATTTAAGAGGTTTTGCCTGCACCCCACGACAGCAATGACTTCAGTCAATAAAACAATTGTTAGTGTGTATTGTCTTCATAAAAAACCGAGGTTGAATCATGACAATAATCAACCTCCTATTGCTCATTAGCTCTGTAGTCATTCCATGTATAGCACGACAAGCCTGCATGGCATTCCAATTGTCATTTTACAAAACTGGTCAGATTTAAACAATTGGGTTACCCTGCTTTGGGAAATAATGTAAAGTCGCCACTTAATCAGTTCTATTTAAATCGAAATAACCAAGCAATCGCAGATGTCTCTTGCGTTGCGGTTGCATCCACGTAAAGACAGTTCGGAGCAGTTGTTGATGCTGTGGATTTGCAAATGTCTAGTAAGTAAGAAGGTGTAGAAGCTTGCCGATCGCCACAGAGGAATGAGGCTGCAAATTGATTATAGAATTCTAGATTATTTGTGAACAGTAGTTGCGATCTCGTTCTCCAACCCCGAAAAATTTCAGGTTACTTCTGTTAGCCTCGCTTTTTACATGCTTTGGTCTGCGGCCCAGTCTATTTTAGCAACCACGCGGTAAATTAATGAGTGCAAAAGCAAGAAAAAACACGAGAATCTTCACCCGATAAAATATGTGTGATTTACTATGCCCGAAAAGTCGTAATTGTGATCCCAGAAATTGTGTTTGATGGTGCGTAGATAATTGATGTGGATGGAACAATTATAAGTCCCAATTTGGCTACGAACCAAGACAGGGAGAATTGTGGGGGATTTCAGCATTGCCCAAGACAGGTACCTCTCAGTTCTGGTCACACGATTGCATCTCCACAGTCAAGATTGATCTCTGTTCACACGAGCGATTCATGGGTCCTTCTGAATGCAAACTCGATTCCTACCTTGACTTCAACTTGTGCGCCGACCTTCGTCTGACGCTCTCTGTAAGAACGCTTGGAGGCCGTTGACGTACCGAACCGGGGATTTGAACTATTAACCCTCGAGGCGTTGAATCGACACATCAGGAAATTTGTAGCAGGAATACTGACTTCACTAAAACTTTGCCCATCATTGAAGCCTCTGCTGTCTAATCAAACAATACTTCAGTGGTTCCTGCAGCCGCCACCACAACCCGTTCACGAACCACCTCATTACGTGAAGTTATTCTGGGTATTTGTGAAAACTTTTTTGCAGTCTTCGCGTCTTAACGAAGCAACGCTTAACCTGCCTGCCGTAATGTGGTCGTGCCTGCGAAAAAAATCCACCGAGAATAATGGTCTGTCGTGTGGCGTGCAGCCATCCACCTACTTTGCGGGACCATTACTGCTGTTGGGGGTGTGATGTTTTTTGCATTAGGCGGGCCAATCGGCGTAATTGGCGCAGCGCTCAAGACAATAATCACAATAATACGCAATTTTGGAATTATAATCAACTTATGCGGTTAATTAGCGTCTGCGTTTTAACAGGGACGCGACAAGACGTCTTCGCCGAATTAATCAACATGCAGCATGCTCCAAAACATGCTCATGGCTTTAGCACACGAAAAAGTGCATGTCGTAGTTAGTTAAATGAACGAAATCGCCATTTTTCGGTGACCAGTTGATAACCTAACACGACTAGTTAAACCGCATTACAGGGTGACACAATCAGGGTTTTTAAATTTTAACTTTCCCCGATGAAATTCTCGTAAAAGTGAATCTCGTGAATCCATTAGCGTGTTTACTGGGAGTTTTTTTTTTCGAAAAGCCAATCACAGATTATCGCATAGCTACGAAATTCTCAACTTGCCAACAAACCTCACCTGTCACTAAGTCACGCCATTTTAGTTTCATTTTGTTTCTTTCGAGGTGCGAACACCCAGTCGTAGTGAGACACGATTTCCCCTGACACAAGCATTGTCAGAAATCCAACACAGATGCTTACTTCAACGTTAATACCACCACTGTTGCAATCAGGTCGCGTCAGTGTTGGTTAAACAGAATTCAGTAAAAAAATTGTAGGCTGCCGCTGCGCCAAAATCACCAATAATGTCCAATCTAAGATCAGTCTCTAGGTCAGTTCAAGTTACAGCAACTTTACATATCAGCAGCTCTTGTATAACCGCATGTAAATTGTATGTTAATTTAATTGGTTGAATATGGCGCCAATGACACAGTTTCTGATGACACTTACTTATTGTTTAAATAGATGCAGGAGAGATGTGCTAGCGTTGCACGATAAAAGCAGATGATTGTGAGTCTTTTTGATCGCGAAACATAATAATGGATTCTTACGAGGTTCAAATGCCCCCGCAAACACAGCCTCTTCCAACTATTCTCTTCTTTGACGTAAATTCAACCCATTGTGAAATTGTTTATGGTTTTTCCAGCATTTTTTCGTCATTTCCATTGGCTGAACAGTGAGATGCTGCATTCCAGCAGTACTGGTTAAAACGAATCACACCGAAATGGCTTGTGTTTGGACATGCAGACGAAGATTAACTTTCTCCAGCTTCAACACACGCTACCTTTTTCGATAGATCCGCAAACACACCGCGTGTGTGTTGGTGCTGCAACTGCTGATACATATGTAGTGGACTGACAGCCTCCCCGCGCGAGTGTGCGTGCATGAGGGCCCGTGTGTAGCGATGACTCACCCCCTTTTGTTATTGATTTTTGTCAGCATTCGCCTGTCACGCACGCGTGCTCATACGCACACAAAGCCACTTGGTTGTTTTGACATCAATAAACCAGTCGTGTCCGCTCTCGCCTCTTCTCCACTCTACTCGAGTTGTCTTGGGCTGTTAAGTAGAGGGTTGTAAGGTAGTGCTAAGATCAAGCTACTACACATATGTCGGATGTTTACTAACACGGTTGCATATAAGATTGCGCACGTTACAGATTTGTCTTTAAGTACCTACCCACCTACCCCACACGACAATCACACTAAAGCTCACTTCGAAGGAAAATTGAGCTTATGATAACTTGTTTTCTATAAATGGTTACCACTGGTTAACGTGGCTAATACAAGTGTTGAATTTGAAAACTCGCTACAGGTTAGGTCACTTGCTAAGCTGTTGGGAACCAAAGAAGCACATTGCAATCTTAGATGGATTAATCTCAAGTCCATTGGTTGGAACGACAACGCCGCTTCGTTTGAAATGCTTTCACCTAAAACCAAGAGCACTTTGGTTATGTGCAAGTGTGAAAAAAAAGGCATTACCACCTCCTAGAACACGAATCAGGCTTTCCACGTCTGCGCCGGTCCACATAAATTCCAAACAAGGGCTGGGCATTCGCGCTGCTAACCAACCTTGGAAATCAACTCATTCGTCCTTGAATTTATCGCACAAAGAAGGCCCTTTGTAGAACCGGTAAGAAGTAATGCGGCTTGAACTTTAGGTTACATCAATTTTGGAGCGGATAAACTCGAAGTTTTTTTGACGTAATTATCATTATTAAAACTTACGAATAATTGAGCGATGTTGGATCTGAAGTGCAAATAACAGTCTACATTTGGAATATTTGATGTTTGCCTGGGCATTAAGGCTTTGCATAATTCCCAGAATTAAACAACTAGTGTTCGATTACACCTAATCCACGCTGTAAAACCACAAATTCACCATAAACATGTGTTTCTGGGTTCTGATTTGTCCTGTCTGTAGACTAGTTTTAATACTCATTCCAACTTTCGTTGATTCGTGGCTGAAATAAAGGCGAAATGGCAGTGACAATAGACAAATTTTCCAAATCAAGACAAGACAACTTGAGTACTCATGGTCGCCTGTGCTAGCAAAGTGGATTAACCACAGGAGGTATAAATTGCACTCTAGAGGCGTACTTCGAACTCTGCAAAATCGGGTTCTCAAAAGGTCTATCTGGTGTTTGCTATTAGTGCAATTTCTGCCGACAACTACGAGCGCGAGGCTGGAAGAAAAAGATAAATTAGAAAAAGCTTTTTGGCGACTCCCAGACGGAGAAAAAGGCAAGGTAAATGAGGTGGTTTTCCTAAAATAAATGGCTCTTACCAGGTTTGGGCCCGGTGTGCATTAAGTGCACTTGCTGAGGTTAAAGCTCCATCGGGAAAAAACTCACTAAGCCCCTGCATCCTCAGCTACTTATAACTCCCATTCTGCGTGGGTTGCCGTGATGGCGCCGCCCCCACAACCCATTAACGCCCAGAAGATCAGCTCGACTCAAAACGAAGATATTTTAGCAGTAAAACATCCCTTCTAGGGGTGCTCTACGGTCAACCGACAGTCGACGAGTTGTCCAGACGACGTTGCGCCTCATTTTCGAGGATGGACGTATAATGAACTGTCAGCGAACCCGTGTGAGTGGGGCTTGTTCGCGAGTTGATCTTGTGGCGACCAGCAAACCAGCACACTTAGCAATCGTGGGCGAACGCAGTTTGCAAGCGCGAGCGAACACAATTCAATCGATTTTTACCATTAATGCACTGTTGTGGACAGACAGCCACCGCTCGCGTGAGTGCCGCGTGCGTGCTTGTCCGACTGTATCAATGACTCACCCTCTTTGTTATTGGCTCTTGTTAGCAGTCGCCTGTAACGCACGCCTATCGATATGCACACAGGAGTTAGTTACTCGATTCCACTGGACTCGGCTTGACTGGCGTGAAGCGAATAAACGGTCGTGTTCTCTTTCAAATCTCTCTTCTCGGGTTGTGACCGGCTGTTATCTATAGGGTTTTGTGGTAGTGCTAATTTAGGCCCATACAATCTGGTGTCATAACTAGTAGCTGTGGTTTGAAAGCGCCAATAAACGTTCGCGTCTGCCTCCGCCTCTGTTCTCGGGTTGTTCGGGCATGTCTAGTCGGCCGTGATGTTGCACTAATGCATGATGAGCCAAGATCCCGCTACCACGATATATATCCAAATTTCAATTCCCCTAACACCTAGCACAGTCCTCTGTCTGAACTGGTAGTTCTCGTATCAAGGCTTGATGACAGCAACGCATTAAGGAAGCCCTTCCCAAGCAAACACATTATCGCGGTCTGGTTTCAGCGGTGGGAGAGGTCGCATTATCTCACAGGATCAAAGCGCGATTCCAGATAATCAACAAATCGCACTCCATTCGTCTTTGTACGACAGTAACCAACGAGCACGATGTCAATTGGGTCCAAAACGTTTTACCCGATAGTTCTAGAAAGCAAATTGCTGTGTTGCTAAAGATCACGTCCACGAACCAAATCACAAGTTGATCCTCATCCAAACCACAACTACGGCGTCCATTGACCGCAGAACCGATGCCAGTGAGTGAATTTCAAGCATCGGGTCTCGCGTTTGGAGGAATAACCACGTGGATGATCCGACTGTGTCGGGAGCGAACCGCATCCGTTAGCTAATTCAAATTATTTGAGGTACATTTGACGTGCTTCGTGTTACGACACTAACTTAAGCATCGTTGAAGCACACCCAACGCCCACCGTGAAAGAGATCTCGAACCGAAAAGCTGGTTAATGATAATGCAATTCTATTGAATCGAATTACTCAGGGCGTATAACTAAACGTGATGAAGGTGGATTAGCACACACACACACACACGCACACACAGCAATGCATGAATGAGCGTGAAGGTACACAAAGGAGGACACGAAGGGGAGGAGGTTCATGCAGCGATGAAAGGGAGAAAAAGCTACCACCACCACTACCAGGTGCTGTGGCAGCGTCAAAACTGTGAATGCATAGATCAGTGCACACGGATGATGAGAAACAGAAGGAACAAATAGGCGTCTTCGTTAAGTGAGTCCACGGAAAATGCAGAACAGCGAAGAAGACGGGCGGATCTGGAAGTTCAACACACACACGCACACGGAAATTTGGGCCGGTGGAAGATGAGATTAGCTGGTGAGTTCCCGACGGACTATCCACTGGTCGGCGGCAGCCAGGTGCGCTGAAGGTGACGCCTTGGAGGTGCGTGTTTGCGGGGATCTGAGGGTCCCGGGGAGGGAGGACGAGGAGAACCCAGGCGGTTTGAGACCGGACGACGGTCTGGAAGCGGAGGGGGCAGGAGGTGTCGCATGAGGCGGACCGCTGAGCTCCGAGGGCGGAGGTGGCGGGCCCTGTCTGAGACGGGTGGCGGGCGCGGCGGTCCGCGGTGGATTGGCCGACTTGGGGGGACACGCGCGATCGACACCGACGGGTCGCGTGGCGCCCGGCTTCCGAACTACAATTTGTTACGCGGCACAATTAGGGTTGTGAAGAGGAAGAGGCTGTAAGCGAGCACAGTTACAAAGCGTGAGCGAACACAATTCAATCGATTTTTCGTGAATTTTACTTCACACAACTACGTGCGTTCAGAGATCGATGCTTGGCCGTAAAACTTGAGTCATACGCCTTATCCATACCCCTGTAGCAGGCCCTGGGGTATGGATAAGGCGTATGACTCAAGTTTTACGGATTTCGTGTTCATGCTTCAAGTTATGTTTAAAAATTGAAACATTTTCGTGGTCATTTGTGGTTTTGAAAGGATCGCACACAAAGTTTCGGAACACCAAACGACAAGTCAACGCGAGTTGCAGCACTTCTCACAAAAGCGGTGTTTACGACAGTGGCAACTGATCCAGAGCACATTCGGTGGCACTGCATTTTATACAAATTCCAAGAAGGAAACGCTGCTTCTAGAGCACGGGGAGGATCCATGCGAAGTGTTCTTGGTGTCGGTGCCAATGTTGTGCCTTATAAAACGTGTAGTTATTGGTACAAACGCTTTAGACGTGGTGACTTTGATCTTGGTGACCAGCCGCCCCAACCTAGACAGCAGTCTCGAAGGCTTGGAGATGCACAACTGCAAGCCCCTCTGGCTGAAGACTCAAAGCAAACGCAACACGTGCTTGCAGCAGCTCACTTTGGGGTCACCTAAGCAGCTACTTCCAGGCGTTTGCACAACCGAGTTGGAAGAATTCAAAACTTGGAAGTCGGGTCCCCCACATGTGTTGACCGAACACACGCTTTTCACTGCTTGCCCACGGCAACAAGCAGTACTTGGACCTGTTATGGACAAGTATGACGGATGATGGAAGGCACTTTATTACAAGAATGCTAAATGCAACAAAATGTCGCGGGTAGATCTAGGGCAACCCAGTATTACGTGGACCCGAAACAGGACATTCACTTGAAGAAGAAGAAAAAGAGTGAGGAGACGGAGAAGAAGGTTCTTCTGTGTATCTGGTGGGGGACATGAAGGGTGTACCATATAACGAACTCGTGCCAAGTGGCAGTCAGACGGTGATTGCACAACACTACAGCCGACATTTGAACAAACTGGGCGAACAGCGTGATCAGAAAAGGCCATTTACTGGACAAGGAAGCAGTCAAGTCATACTGCTGCTGCTGCTGCATGGCAACGCTCGACCACCTCGTATTGCTCGCCCGACGCAGAAGACCCTCTTGAACTTGGAGTGAGAAGCTCTCCCACACGCGGCTTAATCACCGTAATTCGCCCCATCCCACTGACATTTGTTCTGGTCAGTCCTAAACGATGGACGATGCGCGCGAATTCGTCGATTGTGACTTGATTGCCTCGAAGCCTGCAAGTTCCTTCCTGGATTACATTCGTTTGTTACCTGGGAGATGACTCAAGGTCATAAGCCACGACGAACGATATTTAAGTTCAGTGTTCCCCAGTTTTTACATTAAGCAAATTTGCCGAAACTATAGTGACTACAACTGAGTCGATAAAGAAAAAAAGGGAAATTCCGGCCAAATTGGCGAGAACAAGCCTTGTGGGCAGCTTACCAGTGCCGCTGAGCGTTGCGCGGCACCCGCCTCCTCCTCCCCCTCTTACTCCCTTCACCTCCTCTAGCACCCTCAAGTGCTGTCGTTCCTCCACAAGCGCCTCACTCTTCGCGCCCGTCCTTATCGCCACAGGCTGCGACTGTGCCTTCTTAGCCGACGCCGTCCTGTTGACAGCCCCCACGCTGCCGGAGGGGGCCTTCAGCCCGCTTCGATTGGTGGCGACCGCCTTCAACTCACCAGAGACCGGTCTGGTGGCTCGCTGTGGTGCGAAGCTGGCAGGTGACGCGGCGTGGGGGTTGGGCTGGGCGGACGCGGGCCGGCGAGCCTCTCGCGAGCCGACGGAGGTGGCTCGTGCCGCCTGCGGAGACACGTAGCGGGGCTGGGCCAAACCCGAGGGCTTCACCGCGTCAGTCGCGCCGGCTGGCGTCCGCGTTGTCGAACCGACCGGCTGTGGCAAGCACGAAGCCAAGGAACTCGTCGAACGCACTTTCGATGACTTAAAACAAGGCCACACCAACACATCGGTTAAACAAATTAAACACACAGTCGTAAACGACAAAAACTAAGTCAATCGGCCAGCTAGATTTCTAATCCAAGAGAATAGGAGCCACCCGGCAAAGTTAACCAAACGTATCTACTTAAAAACTATAAGTAGACGTTTATTTACAACTACAATTACCAATTAAGAAACTAAGTTGATGTCGACAGTAAAATAGTTACCTGCGGAAGGCCGCTTGCCGCAACTGGTGGAGGACGCAAAATGGAAGAAGTTGAAGCCGATTGCAGTGGCTGAAGTGGAGCAGGTGTGGAGGAAGAGGCGGAAGACGGGGCTGGTGTCGATCGTGAACGCGATGGCAACGCCGTGACAGGCTTTCGGAGATTCGAGGGCGGTTTTATCATTCCCGAGCTAAGCCTCGCGAGTTGACCGCTCGAGGCTTGGGATTTTGAGCCGGATGTGTCAGTCAAGTTCTTTTCAGGGACCTTCGTGTCTCCTGGAGCAGAATTTACCGGAGCTGACGTAGGCCTAATTTCTTTCGAGATCTTCTGCTCAGCAGCATCGTCTAAATCGAAGCCGTCACTTGGTTGGCTCATTAGCGCCTCGAGATCCAGCGGTTCGTCATCCTGATCCTCGCATGGGGCATCCTGAAGCAAAAAGTGCATGGAATAAAAAACATCCTACTCAAATTATGTCAGTAGAATAAGTAAACCACATGAATAAAATAGAGTTCCTCGGAACCAAAACACAAACTCACAACTCGTTTTCCATTCGCGACAGCCGGAGGAGGCGACGGTGGTGGTGATGGACTCCGCGGAGGACTGCTGTCGCCAACCAAAGTAGCGGAATCGTCATCAGCATCAAAGTTCCCTGTTGGAGGGGGTAGCGGAAAGTACTCCTCGTCACTTGCCCTCTGGCCCAACTCGAAGGGCTTCAGCACTGAAAAGACGGAGGCGCAAATAAATCGGTTTGTGTGCGCTAAAGCGTCAACCCAGTTGGTGGCACTCACTGACGAGATCAGCCAATAGGCAAGACGTGAGCCAGAAATGACAGCCAATCACGTGTGACTTGAACTGACGGTTCAACCAACCGGGGCACATGAAACGCAGACAAGGAAGACAGTTTGCACCAACGCCACGTCTTCCTGACAATCACTCAAACCGTCAAAGGGAAACACGCCCAAATGCTCGTGTAGAACATGTAAAGACATTACCGAAATCGTCTCGACTATAGTTACCTGACGGTTATGTCGAATTTATAAACAGTTTAGCAAGGTTTATAAAAAAACGTTCTGTTAAAACTAAAACCTGTCATTTCATGATCTTTTGGTGCTACATGAGGGCAAAATCAAGCCTCCTAGCGTAGAGCGTTTCATAGTACATCTGATAACGCATAATCAAAAGACGGGAAGCGAGTTGGAATATCTAGAAGTGGTGAGTGAGTGAAGGCACAGTGCGACAAATTGAAGCACCTTCAAGTGTGTACAGACGCCAACATCCCCACTAGACATATGTGGATGGCTAAAGGAGAACTAGTACCGTCCAAATTGAAAAAAAGATAACCGAAAATCTGAAAGGAAGGGCGATGAAGGCAATTTGGGAGAGTGTTGGGCTGTCACCGTGCGTGGTACCTCGAGCGGTGCGGAGCGTACACACCCCGGAATACACCGGCGTAGAATCGTGGATGGCTGACGGTGGCGGTAGTATCACCTCGTCGAAGCAACTCACGCCTACCCTGGCTCCCTTAAGTCTGTGCCAAGTTGCACTAGAAGTTCAAGTCGGTCGGTTGAAGGTCCTGGTTTTGTGACACGCTTCTAGGACTTTTTCCGCAATGCCAACGAGAGAGGAGCGTCCAGACCTAAACAGAACGCATGCTCGACACGCGTTTAGCGCTGACACAGTTGACGCAGGCAAATATGACGTGCAGTGGTGACTAACAAATGCAGCAACGGGCCATTGGGTCGAGTGTTGGTGGAACAGGCACATCGGATTTCGTGGCACCAACCGTGATTGCTTGTGATAGGGACTCCAAAGGAGGGCGAACGAACGGAATGAGCACGATTACACTAATTCGCGTAAACAGAAAACGTGATGCGAATGTCCACTCTGACTCAACGAGAAACCAACACATCAACCACACGGACAAGCTTTCCTTCACGTTCCTGAAGACCTCCGTCTGATGCTTACCGAACCAAACAGGAAGGTTTATCACTTGTCGACTAAATTGGGTCGTCAGCTACTTAATTTTGCTATTGAGGGTGGCAGAACGTGCCAACGGCCTAGCACTACAACGGCAGACATCCGAAATAGATTTCGCACCTGCAGTTGGTGTGGCGAGGCCGAGGTTGTTGTTGTTGGCGGCAAACTTAGTGCCTCGTGAGGCGATGCCAGACACTGGACGAGGAGGCCTTAGCGCTGGCCCCGTTGGACTTGTCGCAGCAGGCCTCGTGGTCTTCTTCGTCGTCGTCGTCGTCGCCTGGACCAGGCGACTGTGGCTGCGGCTGTCGGCAGTGGTGGTGGTGGCGGCGTCTCTGATCTGCTGCTCCGGCCTGCTGTTGCTGCGAACGCTTGCAGTGCCGGAACCATGAGCTAAAAAATGTCCAGCCCGACGGAGGTTGCTTCCACCGCTGGAGGGCGTCTGGCGCGTCGGCTGCAGGGCCTGGTGGAGGTGTTTGGCGTCCGGCGGGGCCTCGTGTGGACACGGCGACTGGGACTGTGGCGAGACGGGGGTCGTGAGTGGTGCGGTCGCGGGAGCCGCTGGCGCAGCGTAAGCGATGTGCTGCTGCAAATGACCAGCGGCCTTGACCCCACCGATTCCACGGCAGGAGGTCGAAATCGGCAGTTTGGGTGTTGGCATTGCTGAGGAAATACACTCCTGGATTTGGCGAAAAAATAAGCACACGGGGAGTTGCTTGACTGATCTACTTAGTTTAAATTGAACCACGTGGTAAGTTAGACTACCTGAAGAAGACTCGTCTCAACACCAACAGACTCGATGCTTAGGAGCGACGAGAACGAGGAATTGTCGGCTTCGCTATCGCTGGTCTGTTTGCCTTCTGACTTGATAGCCTCGCTCGTCGGCTGTGAGTCTAAAATGCAATTTCGCATGCTGTCAAAAAACGTCAGCGGGTTTCCCGGACAGTTGTAAACCCAGAATCTCGCGCACACCGAACGACGTAATCACGAGTCCACATGCAGATTCAGTAGTTGGGGCGCGAGGTTTGGTGGGATTTGTTGGAATACAGTCGGTTTAAGTGGATGTGCACATTCAGGGCGTCATCAAATGCGTTCTACAGCACAACCAAATGCGCCTTTCATGCCAGTTAACTAAGCGACCAGTTCTAGTGGGATGGTGTTACACGTCGAGCCGACAACTAACAACACACAGCTAAGCAGCATGCTTGGAACACGCGCGATTTGGTCGTTGTGCGGATGAGGTTGTCGTGGAGCTCGTCTAGGACCCCACAACTTGCTTCATGTGTCCAAATCACCAGTCCTAATATCAGACAACGAATTCCAGACCCAACACCCCTTAACAATGTCGTGTAACTTCCCCCACACAACCAGCTTAACTGATGAACCCATGATGCACAAGTTGAAATACAGATCATAGTAAATAAACACACAAACATACACACGAGATAAACCTAACACAAACTTTGATGCATCGGAGGAGAGGGCTTCGTCTTTGCACCATTGGGACTGACTACATAGATCCGGCGTCTTTCAAAGGCCAGCTGCTCTACGCCGGGACTAACATTGGATCCGTTTTGAGGATCCTCAAGAAAAGGCCCTCAATTTTAGCTTTTTTAGCGAAATCAATGTGTTGTGTTGGTGAATGCGTAACTGGTAGCGGATAGTAGCCCAAAAAGTAGCTCAAATTATCAACGAAAACGCCTTAAAACATACCCTCGGCGGTTCGTTGGGGCATCGGTGCTACAGTGGCCTGGGGCCTTCTCTGATGCGCGGAATGCCCGAAGCCGATTCGAGGCGCGGCCAGCTTGCTTACAACGCATTTGCTGAGGGGAGACATTGAGGGATTCTCGCTGTCGCCGTCGTTGTCATTCAGCGTTGTCGGGAACCTGCCCTGCTTCGGCAGCGCCGACTGGATCACCTCGGAGAGCAGATTCACCGAGCCCTCTTCCTCCACCTCGTTGACGGAGCTCGCGTCCTCCGAACAGGCGTAGGCATCCGCCTTCACTATGGACTGTGCTGGAGACGCCGATTTGGAAATACCCGAGGAAGCCGAGGTGCGTGGCACGGCCTCGGGGTCGGTTATTGACACGTCGCTGAAAGAACTGTTCTTTGTCGAAAAGGCGAAGGGCGTGCCCTCGACAGCAAAGGACTGGATCGTGTCCTCGGTGGTGGTTGCGGCGGCTGCCACCGAGAATACATTCCCACCGTCACTCACGTAGGCGACAGGCGCTGGGGCTGACGGCGCGGCACTGGGCATGACAGATGCGATGCACTGCTGGAGGATCTTGTGTGAGGACTGGACGACATCGTTCGTGGGTTCTGGAGCTCCCCAGATCGGCGGTGGAACTGAGGGTTCACGATCACCGCTCAGAGAATTGCTATCAAGAGGCGAGCCTTCCTCGGCGAACATTATTTGAGTTTCCTCCTCGACAACACCGATCTTATCTTCGGTGACCACCGGTTTCGGCTTTTTATGGACTGTCGTAATCGAGGGTGGAAGATCACTCGGGCTGGTGCCCAGGGCGATTTCATCGTCAGCGTCCACCTCATCGTCTTCGGTTGTGGAATAAACACTCTCTGGGGACGACTCGATGGGCGGAAGTGGGCCCAAGTCCACCGATGAGATGCAGGATGACGTTGCCCTCGAGAACATCATCGGAGTTTCAAGGACAGCGGCATTTGAGGAAGTAGGAGAGGAGACTCCACTGGAGGCCACCTGCTTGGGAAGTGTTCCTTTTTGTGGCATGTCCACATTCACGTAGGGGTGTAGAGACCGCCGAGGTGGTGTTATGAAGTTATCATACACCAGTGTTGAAGGCTCATGCTTTGGAGGTGACCGGAGGTCAAGAATCGAGGTGCGAGCAGACGGTCCAAATGGGGTGCCCTCGTCCGCATACACACACGCCTGCTCTTCTTCCTCCACAGACGTCTGAGCATACGCCGGAGGAGGAGGGGGAGGTGGTGGCGGCGGCGGCGGTGGAGACTTGTCCGCCGACGGGTCGATGTGATCGTCCGGCGCATGAGGATACTCAGGCAGCTTGAATTCCGCCTCCTCCTCACCACCAGCCTCTGAAGCCTTCGATGAACACTCTGTGCTTCGTTCTTCTTCTTGAACACTATCAACTTCCTCCTCCTCCTCGTTACTTGAAGCCTCATTGTCATCATCATCGTCGTCGTCCTCCTCCTCCTCTTCGAAATCGTCATTCGTCTCTAGAACGACGGATAGAAGGCCAAATCGGAGGTGCGATCGATTGCTCATCCGCCGGCGGTAAACTTGTTCTGCCGGGGAGGCAGGAGAACTGGAGCCAGACGACTGGTTGCTCGTCACAGGACTTCCCGTGGCGGTGGTGGAGGGCGTGAAGGTGGAGAAATCCGTGTTGGCGGGGTAGGGAACAATGCGTTGGGTCTTCATCAGAACATGCGCGCGCTCGAGATTCTCAAGGGCCTGTTTGGAGCTACTCACGACGTAGCGATGGCGGGAGTGCGCGAGGCGATGGAGGATGTCCAAGGCGCCCAGCCTGATCATGAGGGCCTGGTCGGTAGAGGCGGATTCGTAGAGCAGGGCCGAGCTGGGCTTGGCGTCGCGCAGGGGTGTCGCCGAGAGCGCACCCAGCACCTCGCAGACATTCACAACGACCGTCACGCTGGGCGATGTCCGCAGTTGCTCGAGAAGGATTGCGCAACAGTTGTGAGTTCGCAAGACGGCCCTGAAGAACAGACAATTCTTTTACCACCGGAATTTTTGTCATGTTTTGACCCTCTAGGCAGGAGCTTTCACGCCCATGTTTGTACAAACCAACCAACCAATCATAAAAGTGTCGCCAGTCTGTGAGAGAAGATGCTAACAGCACGCAAACTTGTACCAAGACTGAGGAAGCCTAGGACTGGATACCACACACACACACACACACACACACACACCAGCTAGAAAGGAAAACAAGTTAAGCAGCAAGGAGGCGCGTACCTGTATTCCAGACTGTTGACAATGACGGGACAAAGGTTACGCAGAACCCCACCGCTGTTGGCCTTGATTTCGACGTCTTTGTTGGGATTTTTCACGTCCAATGTTGACACTAGGAAAGCGAGAGTCCCGTTGACACTGAAATAGAGAATTGAATGGCGTTAGGCGTGTCATTTTAGTTGGGCGCGATGCGAAATAACGCGCATTGTAGGACGCGTAGCTAGGCCAAACTGCAAGGCAAGAGAGCTCTTCACACAAACCGCGTTAAAAAACACCGGAGCTAAAATCCACCCACACTTAAGACTGGAATTGTAGCCGGCGTCAACTGCTGCAAGGACAAATTCCATGCACCAGGAGCTTGACGCTAGCAGGAGGAATAGAATCCGGCAGTATAGATCGAAAAAAACATCTACCACGGCTTCGCACAAAGTCGAGCTAGACAACTACAGCATAATTCATAATTGACATACACAAATAATCGTCTTTAAGGCAAATAAGAGCAAATTTTGGGTATGTAGGGGCTGAATTAAATTCACGAGTCGGTAGATGGCTGAACTAAATCCGTAGAAAATGTTCTTCCAGGTTCCTTTTTATGCTCAACATCAGGAAACCATTTAATTACACAACATTCACTAGGTATTATTTGTGTGCTGAAATAAATATACGAAAACAAAACCAAGAAAGCGACTAGAATGCAATTTGCTAGCTGAATCAACGACTATGACACCGGTGTAAGTCGATGAGTTGAATTTAAAATCATCGTTTGACGCCTTTGAATTGCACAGTGTGAACGCCAAGCATTGTGTTTTTCAATTTCCTGCTACCAAGAGGCCACTGCCTGATAAACGAAGTAGGGAATGATGACCATACTACAGCCTACAACTTCCAGGCTTAGAGACTGTTTACCGTCTCCGAGATAGCAATGCGGAAACGGCTATGGGAACACCTGATTACTCAGCGTATCGGGTTGCAGCGCATATTTTGACAGCTGTCAGTGTGCGGTGACAACGACTGCCAGTTCCACGTGGAGTCGTCGTTTTGGATTACCAAACGGGGCCAAACTGGTGTCGGCTAGGGTTTCTGGCGTCGCCTAGAGTTTCAACCCCGGTCTGTGCGGGAGGAGGGAGGGGGCAGAGGTTAGGGTAGAGTGGGGGGTCACGCACCTGCACACGGCCTTTTTGTTGGCGGTGGAGTGCGACGAGAGGTTCCAGAGGGCGTTGAGGGTGGTGCGCAGGGTGGGCTCGCGCTGCGCCGAGAGCACGGCCCGGGTGAGGCGGGTCGCCGCCTGGGCCCTTCGGAGGGCCGCCTTGCTGCGCGCGTCCGTGTGCCAGCTCAAATTGCGCAACACGCTTGCCGCGACCTTCAAAAGAACCAATCAGTGATCGACTGTTTGCTGATTACACGGGTGGCATGAAACAGCGACACCAACAAACGATCAATGAGGGTAAAACAATCGGATTTGGTGTGGTCTAGCCATTGGATGACAGACGGATGGCAAAACGGCGTTTTTCATGGGCGAATAGCCAAGACATCTAGTGAGTAGGGGAGCTGAAAGGAGTGTCAACACAGACGTGGAAATATTAGATGTATGACTTATTTTTATACACATTTTCAGAAAATTTATACAAAATACAAAAGCAGTGAAAAATGAACTGAATTCCGAAAATATTATCTGTCATATTCAATCATATTACGGCATTTTCAGGTAACAAAAGATTGTCGTCGAAGAAATTCTGTCATAATCGACGAATTTGCGCGCATCGTCTAGTGTTTAGGAGGTGTTCATTTACGAAGGCGCATTGCTGCTGATGCTGCATTTACCACAGCAAACGTTAGTGGGATGGGGCAAATTAGGGTGATTAAGCCGCGTATGGAAGAACTTCTCACTCCAAGTTCAAGAGGGTCTTCTGCGTCGGGCGTCCATGTAACGCTGGGTTGCCCTGGATCTACCCGCGACACCTTGTTGCGTTTGGGAATATTGTCAAAATTATACCTTCCATCACTCGTCACAATTATCCATAACAACAGTTCCAATCACTGCTTGTTGCCGGTGGACAAGCAGTGAAAGGCGTGTGTTCATACGTTGACCTAGGTTGTGTTCTGCAACACATGTGGGGGACCCGACTTCCAAGTTTTAAATTCTTCCAACTCGGTTGTGCAAACGCCTGGAAGTAGCTGCTTGGGTGACTCAAAAGTGAGCTACTGCAAGCACGTTTTGCGTTTGCGTTGAGTCTTCAACCAGTAGAACTTGCAATTTCGCACCTTCAAGTCTTCAAAACTGCTGTCCAGGTTGGGGCGGCTGGTCACCAAGATCAAAGTCACCTCGTCTAAAGCATTTGTACCAATAACTACACGTTTTATAAGACACAATGTTGGCACCGACACCAAAAACACTTCACATGGATCCTCCCCGTGCTCTAAAAGCACCGTTTCCTTCTTGGAATTTGTGTAAAATGCAGTGCCGTTGAATGTTCAGCGTATCAGTTGCCATCGTCGTAAACACGGCTATTGTGAGAGATGCTGCAACTCGCGTTGACTTGTCGTTCGGTGTTCTGAAACCTTGCTTGAGATCCTTTCAAAATCCCAAAATACCGCGAAAATGTTTCAATTTTTAAACATAACTTTAAGCATGAAGACGTAATCCGCACAATTAAGCCATGCACCTAATGATGTCTAGTCAACAGGTCGGCAACTCTCAACGCATCATGAAAGCAATTTGCTGAGGAAGTAAATTGTGGACTTATTAACCACTATTGCTAACGTAAACAGTAAATTCCAACGTTTGAAAGCACATTTCCGTAATTAAAATTAACAATTAGCGCGCACTTCAATTTGCACCCACGGCACTAGTTCACGCAAAGCTGTTTCGCTTCTGCGTGGCAGCAAAAAAACTACTAAAAAGGCATGTTTGACGAGCCAAACCAATGCCAGACTTGGCTTGGCTCAGTTAGTTGCTGCAGAGGTGTAGATGAAGGCGACAGCGATTAGGAGAACGTGCCTGTTTAAGCTCTTCGCTGCCAACTTCAAGCTGGGCGATGAGCGCCTCGAGATGGCTGCGTCGTTTGCACACGAAGGCTTTGTTTGGTGGAGAGCCGAATGTGAGATTGGTGAGAGCCACGCAGATGTAGCGTCGCAGGGCAAGGCTGGCTTCTGCCGTGGTCATGGTGGCTCCAGGGGAGACGCCATCAACCCTCTCCCCGCCCGCCGACTGGTCCAGAGGCGCGGTCCCCAGACCAGCACTGTTTGGAGGCGTTGTTGAGTGGACTTGAGAGGTGTTGGTGGGGATGGCGAGGGAGTTGCCGTGGCCCTCCTCTGAGTGGATTTGCCACCAGGCGTGCTCCCAACGAAGGAGGCTCAGCAAAGCGTGGAGACCACCTGCAGAAACATGGACTTCCCGGTTACTCGTAATGGCGGTAGAACCAGATTTGTATGAGCTAATTACCTACGAATCTAACATCCGAGGTTTAAGTGACAGTAACGCGCTAGCCACTATGAAACATCACAATCACTAGTTATGCAAACCCACAAAGAATCCCCAATCAGCGTTCAGAGTTGGGCACACCAATTCAGATATGACCTAACACGGACTGCGTCCTTGGTAACGGAGAGTTCAGAAGCGTGGGACAGCAATTTCGTAGTATGTATCAATGCGCACATAATTTTGAACAATCAGACATCCACGAAAGCACGATATTTTATTGGTGGGGGAAAAAGTGCACCAGCATTCTACTTTATTGCACAAAATTAAGGCGCACTTAAATCAGGGACGAAGGAGTTTGAAGGCAACGCTTAAATCGCAGTGATCATAAATTACGACGCAAATAGGTTTCATGACATAATTGCTTTCGAAGAATGCAATCCCATATAGGGGATACCTACTGACGAAAATTCTACTCAGGCTCGTGGTTGTGTTAAGCCGCTGTGGACATTGTCGCTGAAACTCTAAGACAACGGGATCACTGGTGACTTTTAATGACCGCACTTGGCCGACTTAATTGGCACGAGACCGGTAATAAAAAGTGACTAGCTCAGTTTGCACTCACCCAGGTCGCAGATGGCCTGGCGATGGTTGGTGTGGAAGGAGAGACGCACGAGAGCAGCGACCTCGGGCACGGGGACGTGGGTGGGGGCGACGCGGTGTCCGTCGTCGGGCGAGAGCCGACCCTCTCCGCCGCGTCGCGCCGATCGCGCCGCCATCACACGCTCGCTCTGGGTCATCGTGTAGGCCTGGATCCGCGAGAGCAGTTGGGCGATGTCGAGGTCGCGCCGACGCAGAGCAGGGTCCAGTTGGTAGGTGGAAATGAGGGTGATGAGTGCCTAAGGAAAACAAGGAGACGGGGGAGGAAGAAGCTTCAACCTCAAGACCCTTGAAGTAAACTCGGCGTCCCACTACAAATTACCAAGTTGAAGGCTTTCAGCCATCGAGAAATGCGTCGTAAAATTATGATCATTCAGGTTTGTCGAGTTAGTCGAAGGCACTTGCCACATTCCAGAAATGGGGTAAGACCACTTAATGGGAACTTGAGCTGAGGAGAATTAGTTGTAATATCGACAAAACCTTGCCGAGGTACTTCAAAAGCAGACCAAAGTTAAAGATCATTATGAAATAAACACCAATCGAAGAACCTAAGCCGTCAAGCGAGTCC